ACCATCCCCACCATGCTCACCATCACAGTCATCCCCACCCTCCTCACCATCACAGTCATCCCCACCCTCCTCACCATCCCCACCATCATCATCCTCGTGCTCACCATTGCAACCCTCCCCACCCTCCCCACCGCCACACTCTCTACTTCCCCACTGTGTCCATCAGCCCCACCATCATCACCATCCCCAGCATCACTACCCTCATTGCTATTTCCACAATCATTACCACGCCCACTAAGCCCTCTGTCCCCACGACTGTTACCATCAGCACCATCACCAACCAATACCATCACTACCAATAACAACAATACCACTATTATCATCTGTCTCACCAGTGACCTCATGGAACTTCATGATGTAGCCAGGGGAATAAGGTTGTTATTTGAAGCTAGCTATTTTTAGAAAGCATGTGGAGGATATTCTGCAGAGGATAGAGGACACGGAGCTCTGTGGGGATACGAGAAGAAGCCACCAGAGCAGGCCATATAGTTAATGCCAGGCTAGGCGGGCTCAAGGTGCAGGAGGACTAAATGAGCCCCCTGGGAACAGTGAGGGGCCAGTTTGGCCAGGGTAGGCATGCCACGGTGCCAATCATCAGGGCTGTAGAGCCTGACGCGCCACACGCGACTACTCCTCCACCCAGGTCAGTAGGCCAGGCCTGCAGAAGAAGCCACAGAGGCCAGAGGGGACCTCTGCTGCCCTTCCCACCCCCAGGTCCAGAGGCCTAAGCTAGGCTAAGCCCTCGCTCTTGTCCACTTGAGTACCACTACCTGGCACAGCGCAGGTCCATCGCTCTAACACCCTCTCCCGCTTTCTCCCCTCTCTGAGGTGCTGAAATCCTGCATGGCCGGGGAAGCAACCGAGACTCGGGGATCCGTGCTGGACCTGTTCCGTGTGCCTATGCTCGCCCAAAGAACCTGTGTCATGGTGGTGGTGAAGTATGGCGTGCTGGGTACCTCTCTCCAAGGCAGAGCTGGGGCATGAGGGTGGTGTCCAGGAAACCCAGCACCTTCACGTCTTCCAGAGGCATCCAAGAGACTGGAGTCTAGCAGGCTGGATTGAGACAGGAGAGAAGCTGGTCTGGGCATGGGTGTAGTCCCTGCAGGAGACCAGGGCCAGGCTTCCCTGGAGATGGACCATAGCTGAAGAGGATGCTATTTTCCAGCCTTAGCAGCTCATGGTGACAGTCAGACCCCAGAGGGCAACAAGTGCTGTGTCCCCTTACAGCTCCCATTTCACAGACGGGACAAGGAAGTCCCTGATGGCTGAGTGGTTGCTAGTGGGAGCCTGCACTTGAACCCTAGCCAAGCAGCTTCCTGTTCCCCACTATCACCCAACATGCCTTGCACAGAGGAGGCCTTTCCTTGAGCAGCAGTAGGGACCAGCAAATGTCTCCTGGAAGCAAATTTAGTTGGCATGACATCCAAAGAGCCCCTGAAAAAGGAAGGTCAGGCTTGATTGGAATTTGGTCTCCAATAAAACTAAAGTTGAGGCTGGGAGTGTGTCTCAGCGGGTGTAGCGCCTGCGCCTGCCTGTCCAACAGGAAGCCCTAGGGCTGATTCCCAGTGCCACGCAAAAACTGGATGTGACAGGTTAGCCCATCTCAAACCCTAATGAGGAAGATGTTTGTTTTATACTACAGTTAGCCACATACAGGTTACAACTATAGATAATAAATTTCTGGATAAAGAATGCGATCAAATGCTTTTTTGGTAATCTTTCATTTTTAGGGTTTTTTGCTTTGTTTTGTCGTCCCCACCCCTTCTTGATAAATTAGAAGGAAGCCAAAATTCAGACCTCATCCCCCCTCCCCGACTCTAAAAAAAAAAAAAAAAAAAAAAACCCTTCAAATCTTCCTGGCTCTCCAGGGCCACAGAGCATCTTCTGTTATTCAAATCAGAGGCTTTGAAATGCTAACCCCATCGTTACCCACAACTCCCCGCGGTTCCTGTAGAAGGCTCTAGATCAGTCAGCGTCCACACAAGCCTGAAAAGCTGGCACCTCACTTTGCCTCTGTATCTGTCCCCAGACTGTCAACATCTACTGGGCAAAGCCACCGGGGGCTTTGATGGGGCTTACGTGGTGAGGAACAGTTTCACCTTGTAGCCACTGCTAAACTCAAGTCCTTTGGGAGGTCCTCTCCCCATAGATCTGCCCTGGGATCTATCCCCAGCTAAGGGGCGTGCTCCCTGAAACAGGGCCATACAACTTTCTGAGGTCCCTCTGCTAGGATCTCCATTGCTGTCACCTTCGGAGGATGAAGCCAGTGAGAGAGGATGCTGCAGGCTGGGGTCACTCCTTGGTAGCATGCTCCTGACTCTGGCTCTGCCTGCAGCTTCTCCCTAATGTTGTCCTACTATGGCCTGGTCCTGGACCTGCAAAGCCTGGGCAGGAACATCTTCCTCTTGCAGACCCTCTTTGGCGCTGTGGACTTCCTGGGCCGCGCCACAACCGTCCTATTGCTCAGATTCCTGGGCCGCCGCGTGACGCTGGTGGGCTTCCTGGCCCTGGCGGGGTCCTGCATCTTAGGCAATGTGCTGGTGCCACAAGGTGAGACAAGAGGCTGAGCAGGAGGTGTGTCACCCAGCCACGCCGCTCCCTTCCATGACACCCCTCCTTTCCCTCCGCTTGAGCCGCAGCCACAACACCTCAGTTCTGCCTGGGCTGTGACCGTCACAAAGCCCCTGACCATTTCTCTGAGGAGGAAACTGGGGTTCAGAGAAGCAGTAGCCTGGATTACTCAGTGACACAGTTGGGGCTTGAATCTGAGCGGGCAGGAAGGGCGCACGTGCATGTGTGTGTGTGTGCATGCATGAGTGTGCGCACGCGTGTGTTTTCAGACATGCTTTTGTGCGGGTGTTTCTTTTTGTCACTTGTCCTGGTTTCAGTTGTTTTGAGGCAGGATTTCAAGTAGGTGAGGCCGGCCTCAGACTCCCACATGTTAGCAACTCCGGCATCACCTACCCAGCCCCAGGGTCCTATGGCAGTACATGCATTCTCAGTATCCAGGCAATACCTAGCTAGTCCCAGGGTACCACGGCCCAGTCGTACATCAAGATGTAATCCATGCACATGCGCTGGGTGGTTACTTAAATCTGTACGCACACGCTAAGGCTCCTTTAAAAGCGAACTCCACCCGTTCCTCGAGCTCTTTACACCACTCGTCTTTCTGAGGCACATCTCCATGATCCCCCCTTTTCAGCCCTTATTCATAAACTTCCATGTGGGTTTGTTGTACATTGTGGTTTGTTCTGCTGCTGCTAAACTACAACACCAGGTGTCCTTGGATGGCCTTGAACTCCTGGTCCTTCTGTCCTACCTCCCTGCTGCTTGCGAGCACAGGCGGTGACAGGCACTGTATCTAACTGAGCCCACTCCACGGCCTCTAGAAGACTTTTTCCAGACAGGCGGCGGTGACTGTAACGGTCTGTCCTGTCTCAGAGGCAGGTGCATTGAGACAGAGAAGCCCTGTCTCAAAGACAACCACAAGACTTTTTCTTTTCCCCCCTGGGACTGAGGATGGCCAGGGAAGTGGCGGCCACTGAGGCATACTTCTGGTCCCTGTAAGACTGAGTAGACAGTTCAGAAAGACAAAGCCCAAGGTAGACTCACAAGAGAGTAACCCGGCCTTGGCTTCCGGCTAGGGCTGATGAGAAGGTTGTAGGCACCCGGGCACCCCAAGGCCCTGCGCAGGCATTACTGGGTATTTGCCCAGGCTTGCCCACCCCAGCACACCTGTCTTCCTGCCCTGTCCTCACCTGGTGCTCGGTAGCCCGGCACTGCGTTGGCTCTGCCGAGGACTGCCTGCCTCGACCTCACAGTCCCGTTGCACCCGCAGACCTGCAGACTCTGCGTGTGGCCCTAGCTGTCCTGGGGAAAGGATGTTTCGGGATCTGCTTGACTTGTCTCGCTGTGTACACGACAGAGCTCTTCCCAACACCGCTGAGGTAGGTGCCGGTTGGGGTCTCAGATATGGGTGTGGTCAGAGAGCCAGGGTAGGACCGCCCCCACCGAAGAGGTTCAGTAAGGAAGGCAGGCAGGACCCCTTAGAGCCTCAAGGATACCCAGGCTGGAGGTTTGGTTTGGTGTTTCGAGACCAACTCTCACTATGTAGGCCAAGCTGGCCTCATTCACAGAAATTCTCCTGTCTCAGCTTTCTGACCACCGGGATTACAGGCACGCATCACTAATGCATTTTGACAATGTCTGTTGGCTCTCCTCCTGTAATATGGAGACTCAGAGCGGGGAGCTGAGTGGCCTAGCAGACGCTGAGGCTGCCCCCACGTGCCCAGAGATACAGAGGATGCTAAGGGCCCTAGAGAGTTACCTTGAAGACCCATGGGGGAAACCAAGGTGGGTTTCATGGAGGAGGTGGTTGTTTCTGGAGATGAGACAGTGACTCCTGTACCCAGCTGTCCCACTCCTGGATGCCTGGGCCCAGCCGTACCACCCTCCAGCCCAGTGGCAGCTGCAGCTATAGCTGAGCCTTCTCTCCTCCACAGGATGACAGCAGACGGCTTCCTGCAGTCTGTGGGCCGCCTAGGGGCTATAGCAGGCCCCTTGATTAAGATGACCGGCCAGGTCCTGCCCCTGATGCCACCACTCACCTATGGAGCTTTGCCCATTGCCGCTAGCCTCGTCCTCCTGCTCTCCCTCCCAGAGACCAAGGGAATTCCACTCCCAGACACTATCCAGGACTTGGAGGGCAGGTGAGTGCCACCTGGGCTAGGTCAGGTTTTCCCTGGGCTGGAGAGAAAGTCCGATGGAAGCTGTTTCCAGGGCTTGTGCTCCTGAAACCCCTGAAGTTCTGTGACTGGTGATCATTCCCATCTGCAGAATGAGTAAGACTCAGAGAAACAAGGTTACAGGCCCAAGGTCCCCTAGGGAGGTGGTGACTACAGCTGAGGCAGGAAATGGTGTGAATGAGGGCACAGACTGAATTCCCGCCTGTGTGGAGAAGATGTGTAACCTCTCTTGCCAAAACTGGCACAGGAAGACATCGACAGTCTCTGATGTCCTAGCTCCACGTTCCCTTGAATTCCTGGCTCAAAAGGGGAAGAACTGTCTTTGGTAGAACTCCAGGCACCCGTCCTGACATCTGACATGATGCTACGGAGCAGGGAAGGGGGTGAGAATTCCCAGCTGCTTCATAACCGGCGTCTCCTTCACTTCTGCTTCCTTGGATGTAGAATGGGGGGCAAGAGGGAAAACAGAACAAGGCTTGGGGAGACAACTCAATGGGTGGAGTACTCACCTTGTAAGCCTGAAGACCTAAATTCAGTCCCCAGAACCTGTGGGAGGAAAAAAAGAGGTGTGGTGAGATACCCTTCTAGTCCCAGCACCAGAAGGTAGACATGAACACACCCTGAGACTCCCTGGCCAGCCTGGCGTACTTGGCCAGCTCCAGGACAGTGAGAGGTCCGGAGTGCATCAACATTGTGACACACGCCTTTAGTCCCAGGGATTGAAGAGTCAAGTGGATCTCTGAGTTCCAGGCCAGCCAGGGCAGAGAGAGAGAGAGAGAGAGAGAGAGAGAGAGAGAGAGAGAGAGAGAGAGAGAATACTGGTGTCACTCATAGAATCATCTTCAGGAGTGAATGATTGGAGTCGCAGTGCGTGGCTCTCACATGACTGTCCCTGCGGCTCCCGTTCTCTCGGTGATCAGGAGACCCGACCCCCCCCCCCCCACCCCCCCCCCCCTGCCGTGGGCTCTGCCGCTGTCACCACAGCCGTCGCACTTTGCAAGCCCTTCTGCTTTTTCATTCAGTGCTGGGGCTAGAAGTTAGGCCCTCACTGTGCTAGACCAGCATCCCATCTCTAAACTAAACTACATCTGTAGTCCACTTTTTATGTTTTTATTTTTCCAGACAGGGTTTCTCTGTGTAGCCCTGAATATCCTGGAATTCATTCAAGGTTGGCCTTGAACTCACAGAGACCCACATGCCTCTGCTTCCCAAGTGTTGGGATTAAAGGTGTGTGCTACCACTGCCTGACATTGGTTTTTTTTTTTTTTGGCACGTATTCTCTTTGACATTCTGCCAAAGCAATATCAGCACTGCTGCCTAATTTCACTGTTAAAGGAACCATAACTATATAAGGACTCCCAGCAGAAAGGCAGGCAAGCTGATTCAATTGACTGGGTTTTTTTAAATTATGTATTATTTTTATTTATATATGTGTGTGAGCACTCTGCTTACATGTATGTATGTGCAATATGTGTATACCTGGTGTTTGAGGAGACCAGAAAGAGATGTCAGATTCCCTGGGAACACTGAGATACGGGTGGCTATGATCATCATGTGGATGCTGGGAACCAAGCCCAGGGCCTCTGCAAGAGCAGTAGCCCGTGTTCTCAACGCTGAGCTGTCTCTCTGGGCCACTGGTTTTGCTTTCTTGAGTCAGAGTCTCACTGTGTAACCTGGCTATGAAACCTGAACTCACGATTCCCGTCAAGCTGGCCTTGAACTTCAGGCAGTCCTCCTGCCTCAGCCTCCTAGCTCGATTTAACTTTACTGTTTCCTTTAAGTCCCTCCCGTGTGCGCCTACCGGGATTCAGATACAGTTCTAGGCGTGCGGCTTACAGGGGCTGATCAAAGCCAGCTGTCAGAGTGCTCCTACTCCCCGACCTGCTGTCACCCGTGTGTCAGTGTTTGCTCTCTGGATTATTCCAGGTCATCCACAGCCAAAGGTAGCCAGCAAGAGGTGGTCGTTATGAAAAGCACCCGGTTCTAGAAATGTCACCATTGGAGCCATTGGCTGGCTGAAACCTCCTGGAAAGGAGTGGACTCTTCAGTCTGAAGCACATCGATGACCAGGAGGACTCACCCTGGCAGGGCGGGCCACATGGCTGCCTCCTGTAGCTAGAGGCCCTCACTCCAGTTCTCCCCTTCCTAAACGTATTCTCTGTTCTGCACGACCTGGATGTCTCAGCTGAACCTTCTCCCACACCTTCACTCAGCACCCTCGCTGCTCAAGATTAGGGTTGCAGACTCCCCATCACGTACTCAGCTGTGAAACGGAGGATGCCATTTCCCTCCCAGGGCTTGGTCTGGGGCCAGCTGATCTTAGTTCAGTCACCAGGATGCTGCCGGCTGCCTTATGTGGGTATGTAGGTTGTGTACGATCTCAAGGCACTCCACAGAGGAAGCCTGTGGGAGCTGGGATCCAGCCCAGGTTTGCCCTGGCCCAGCCACCTGTTCTACAGGTGCAGTGACTATCACAAGAAAGGGGCCCACTTTAACCACTTCCTGTTGCTCATTGGTGAGGGAGAGATCTCTGCGCCCGGTTTACACGTGGCCCAAACACTGGACAGACAAGACCAATGGCAATTTAATTCATCATAGTCACATTCCAGAGAGGCCAGCCCTACCACCACACAGTGCCACAAGGGGGCTGCACCCAGGAGCTCTGAAGTACCAAGTGACTCCTGGCTTCTGTGGAAGAGGAGACTAGCTTGCTTGTTGATGGACAGGGAACCAAAGTCCACTGGGTTAAAGACAGCATTTTGGTGTCCAAGGACTATGCCACCAAGGCGGCCATGTTGATCCGGGTGGCCTGTGCTGCCACTGAGGGACATGATGATATTCAGCCAAGGATCATGCTTGGGTCTGTTGCACAATTAATAAAAGCTGTGAGACCGATACTGGGGTTCAACCTGAAGACCCGAAAAGCAAAGCAGCCGGTCACTGACTCTTACCTCGACCTCAGTCTGAAAATGGTCCATCTCCTCCTGTTTTATAATCCTCTCTAGGGCTGGGATTAAAGGCATGCACCGCCCAGTTTCTAGGGCAACTAGTGTAGCCACTGGGATTAAAGGTGTGTGTTACCATTACCTGGTCTGTAAGGCTGACCAGTGGGGCTGTTTTATTCTCAGATCTTCAGGCAAGCTGTATTGATTAAAATGCAAATGAAATGCCACTACATGGGTCCATGCATCTGGACAGCCACTTGAGACTATGTTGGTGTCCGAGGGTCTTCCATATTCATCTGAGTGGCCTGTGTTGCCATAGTGACATAGGGCCATGGTGACATTTAGGCATGGGCTTCTGCGGAGGGCCACATCTGGGTCTGTGTTCCTGCTGCTGCTGGGGTCTGTGGTAATGTCCATGGCCTGTGTTACCATAGGAACCGTGACCTGGGATAGCTCGCCCTGCCCCTCACTGTACACTGCAACAGAGGAGCTGACCCTGCCCCCCACCCAGGATAGATGGCCCCGATAGAGAGATGGTTCTGCCCTTTGCCTGAGGGGGTAGTCCCAGTGGCCCAGACTGACCAGACCCATATCCTGGGCCTTGGGTTGCCCATCCTATCATCTACCCCATCTATGACCTGCTGGAGTCATGAAGGGACTGGTCCTGCAGAACCAGAGTCACAGGATCTCCACGACTCAGGGCAAAGGCAGGATGTCTGGGAGGAGTTTCAGGGAGAGCCCAGTGATGATGGATGGTGTGTCAGAGGCCAGCGGCTTTGAATTGAAATCAACATTTTGTGGGCAGGCTGATTGGGTAAAATGGGTGCGACATGACTCCCCTCAGCTCCTGAGGCCACTAGGATGGATGAGGAGGTGTTGGAAAGGCAGAGGCGCAAGGCAGAGTGTTTGTGTTTAATTAATTTGAGGGGGGGTTCTTTTGGGTGTTTGCTGCAGAGGTAAGGGGCAGATATGGAGGGACTGAGAGGTAAGTGAGATTGGGGTGCTTGATGTGAAATTTCCAAAGAATCAGCAAGCAACTATGTTTTAAGAGATATTGTCACAGATGGCTGTATTTTTAAATAATTTTTTCTTAAGATTTTTTTGCAATTAAAACAAACAAACAAACAAAAAAACCAGCCAGGTGGGCAGTGGTGGCACACGCCTTTAATCCCAGCACTCAGGAGGCAGAGGTAGGTGGATCTCTTGAGTTGGAGGCCAGCTTGGTCTACAGAGCGAGTTCCAGGACAGCTGGGCTGTTACACAGGGAAACCCTGTCTCGAGAAACAGCAACAAAGACACCAAGAGCTGCACTTGGTCCCTCAGTATGCAGGGGACCCCTCTCATACTCTAGTCTGTTTCGTTTCCTCAAAGCTCCCAAATCCATCTGTTCCCCCTTGGTTCTGGATACTGCTCAGAATATAAACTGGCCTCTGGCATCCACATTGTGCAACACACACACACATACACCCCACTTATGAAACACAGTTCAAGTGAGCATGACGGCACACATTTGTAATTCCAGCCTCTAGGGTGCTGAGTCGGAAGGGTTACTACAAGACAAAGTCCAGTCTGAGATACATAGCTCCATGCTGGCCTGGACTAGACTGAGAGCCGGGAATGGAGGTGGGGGAAGGGTAGAAGAAGAGACAGAATTCAAACCCAGTTCTCTTTGCTTAAAAGCCTCCCATGGTTCATGAAAATATCACTCTCTGAGCTGGCAAGATGACTCAGCAGGTAAAGGACTCACAGGTGGGGAGAAGGAAAGAACTGACTCCAAGTTGTTGGAGTCACACACACACCTCACAGTGTGTATGGCTACAGACACACACAGACACCCCACAGTGTGCAAGACTACACATACACACACCACAGTGTGCATGACTACACATACACACACCACAGTGTGCATGACTACA